TTATGCCAACATACTACAAAGACACTCGAGCATAAATACAATATCTTCAATATCTGGAAAACCTATTTTCCTGTACGCTGTTTATGGATTTGTCTGACGTACCTAGTTAAATCGATGAAAAACGCATATTTCGAATATTTCAGTTTTATGTATCGTTGGGATGTTCCGCTAGTTCCGCAAATCAATTTTTAGGACAGTCTGAATAACAAACACTAATAATAAAGCAATAAAAGTCTTACAATTATTGAGTAAAAACAATTTTACTTACTATGAAGATCTTTTTTGGTGAAAAATTTATGCTTCTGAAAATCCTTCCTGGAGAACGCGGCGACAGTCAAAATCAAAATGTGGTACATAGCTAAACTGCATGAAGTTTTCAGATATTAAAAAAAAAAAAACAGTATTATAAATAAGGCCTTTAATAGTAACAATTGCTTTATGACGACGAAGATCTGTTGCTTTAATTGGAGGACTGGGTGTTTCGTGAAATCGTCTCGCAGCATGAAGTCTGGGTTTTGCCGAAAACACCCTTTCTAACTGTAAGAAATTAAAAGCAAACTTCGTTTCATCGTGGTCCTCATAATGATTAGGAACGTTATGGGAAAATAACTCAAGGACTCTTACGACAAAGTTTTTCTCAATTATATTTAAGGAGGACCTTCGTTTGTTATCGAAAAGCATCGAAGGACCGGCGGAAATTGTCGTTAACTACCGTAAACGTTCATGAATAGTCGGAAACGCAAAACAATCCATAGTAAGAATTCGGTAGACCCTCAAGAAATCATCCATTCTATGAGCTCTTTACACAGTTTGAAGCAGAAAACGCGTATTAAGCTTCAATATGCTCTTAGAAGTCGCTGTGCGATATGGACAATCAACGGCATGGCACCTGCCACAAATTGTTTTTCTTGTTATCTTTTTTTATAATTACTAAAAAAGCCTGGAGGATGAATCATTTCGCACTTAAAAATTCTGCTTCTGTGAAGAAGTCTTAATGTTGTCTTAAATATACTTTTTCCTGCTAATTAAAGAAAATAACATCGTTTTCTATTAATCATGTGACCAGAAATGTTGATAAATTTTCAGTAATGGCAAAATAAAACATTTGACAAGATCAGTTTTCTCTCATTAATTAATAAGACTAACAACATTACTTGCATTTATTAGATGATTGACGCCACAAGCGGGTAAGATAAATCAAATCCCCCATGTAGTGATTGGCTATCCGAGCACGCAAGATGCTCGGGATGGCCCGCTGTATCCCGCTTGTTAAGAAAGACCGGAAATCGCATTGTTGTGTGAGGCTATACCGTTCATAATCTACGCTTCCGGTGCTTCCTTCCAGTTTTGTCGTTGAAATGTAAACGTTCCCATGAAATCCAACGAAAAAGAAAAAGATGGTAAGTATACCCTACGATTTACCCAAGGTATTTCTGCAGTCTATCAGTCTAATCTATGACAGAATGCACAAATGTTCAAGTAGATTCACGTAAACGCTTGCCATGGCCTGACAAGCGCTTCAGTTGATAGGCTCTTACTTAGAAAGAACACTTGTAAAACCAACAGAGATTATATGACTGGTTGGCCAAAAAAGTCTCATTGGTTGGTATTAAATTATGTATACCAGTAGGATTTCAAACTGTATAGGAATACCTGTCAGCAGAAAACAGACAGGAGATTTCGTTTGCGACTTTTGATAATTGAACCTGCTAAATACTTTGGGATGCAGACGTTATTAGGACAAAATTGTCGCCAGAGCAGACAGATCTTGCTATTTTACCTCCTTACCACTCCGAGTGCCAAATCATGTCAAATACAGAAAGTTTACTACTTTGGTAGGTGTTATTCTCCGCTCGCTCTCTATTTTACGATTTATGGAAATGAAAATCCATAAAGAGTAACGCTTTTTACAACGCACGCCACTAGCCTGCTATGGGAGTTTCGGGTACAATGTAAGCAGGGTCTGTTGTTTGAATTTTCATAGAAAACATTTTGCGCAATGGCTTTTAACGTATCTTGATTTTTTTTTTTTTTTTTTCTTTTGTGCAACATTGCATTATCATCGACCCTTGGTCAGATGTTGTCATCCGAATGGTTTGGCCGACTAGAGTCAGGCATTAATGAGGTATATTGTAATGTTACAAGAGGTTCAGGTCTGTGTCAATCCTAGGCAGTTAGAGCCAGAAGGAACATCACTGCCAATGCTTGAGTCAGGTTTCTGTAGCATGAAGTGACTAGGGGTACTGCTAAGTATTCCCCCTGCAGCAATTTATCGCGTCCCTCAAGGTTGGAAGAAAACTTAGTTGAATGTGAAGAAAGTGATTACGTCATATTTTCGCTGAGATTCGAGGTATTTGAAAAAACGAGGACACATTGTGTGTGCAAAGTAAAACTAAGACGAAAGCAGTGAAAGAACATCTTAAAATATCTACTTTTATCAAATCAGACATGTAACCACCGTCACGGTTATAATTTCTTTAGTTTAAAGGCTGGTTTCCAT